TCATTCAAAAGTTTACACACCCTTGAATCTTAATACTGTGTGTCATTTCCTGGATGATCCACGACTGTTTTTATAGTTTGTGATAGTTGTTCATGAGTCCCTTGTTGGTCCTGAGCAGTTCAACTGCCTGCTGTTCTTCAGAAAAATCCCCAGCTCCTGCACATTGTTTGGTTTTCCAGCATCTTCTGCATATTTGAACCCTTTCAAACAGTGACTGTATGATTTTGAGATCCATATTTTCACACTGAGGACAATTGAGGGACTCATACACAACTATTACAAAAGGTGAAAACATGTACTGATGCTCAAGAAGGCCACACGATGCATTAAGGGCTTTCTTAAAATGCATTTTTTTAAGTTCATGAAAACTTTTGAACAGGATGATGATGTATAAATTCTTCTCATTTTGTTTAACGATCATATTTTTTTTCATTTAGTACTGGACTTCAGAAGCTACATAAATACTTACAAGTTTCCCAGAAGAAAATAAGTACAATTTACCCTGATCATCCAATTTCATCCAATGGCTCTTAATGCATTGTGTGGCCTTCTTGAGCATCAGTACATGTTTTCACCTTTTGTAATAGTTATGCATGAGTCTCTCAATTATCCACAGTGTTAAAAGATGGATTTCAAAATCATACAGTCACTGTTTGAAAGGGTTCAAATATGCAGAAGATGCTGGAAAACCAAACAATGTGCAGGAGCTGGGGATTTTTCTGAAGAACAGCAGGCAGTTGAACTGCTCAGGACCAACAAGGGACTCATGAACAACTATCACAAAATGTAAACTTTTGAATGAGGTCATTTTTATAAATTCAGTTATTATTTTGTCTTGTACATGTAAACATATGTTATGTGAAATAGCTTATTCACAACAGTACTAAATAAAAAATAACATGCAATTTTCATGATCCCTCTAATTTTGTTTCAATTATTAACATTTTGCACATTCTGCAAGGGGTATGTAAACTTATGAGCACAACTGTATTTTTATTTAATGCAATGTCAGCATCTAAGGCTATTTTCATGGCAAAAACAATTTAAAAAATACAAGTATAACAAATACAATAAAAACCAGCATACAAACAAACACAAGTTATATTACACAAGAGTTTTTACATTAACATATGATAACAATTCTAAAACTTTTTTCTGGCTTTTTCAATACATCACTTTTCTACTGTGTGGTTCACTTCAGTTTTCTACATACATTAAAAGCAGGACAGTCCAATAAAATATGTTTGACAGAAAGGAGAAAGGAGAACAACATGCATTGAGAAGGGTCTTCACCTTTAAGCAAAAATGCATGAGTCCGTCTTGTATGACCTATGCGACATCTGTTTTTAAAAAATCTAGTTTTAAAAGAGATTAAAAATCTGTTTGAAATTTCCAGATGGATTTCATGTAATTCATTATTTGTTCATGTATCCCACTCTTCTTACCACTTATTTAATATATGATTAATAATAGGTCTGATCTCTGAGGGAGGAATTTGACATGTGTTTACTTCCTGATTAAAAGCCTGCTTTGCTGCATCAGCTCGCTCATTTCCTGAAAGCCCAACATGGCCTGGAAC